GAGGTAAGTCATCCCCCTAAAATAAGACCTGGTGCCTGTTTTGTTTTGTTTTTCTTGGCAAAAATATAAGAGGGGGTCTTATTCTCGAGGGAACACAGTCGTTTTTGAGCAATGTGCTGGGATGCACACTCCAGCAACATGGATAAAGCCAGGGCAGAATCCAAAATTGATCTGTGTCAGTTCAAATAAAGCATGGCAATTATTGACTATGCCTTGAGCGGAGATTGTGCCCATGTGAACAAAGGTCCATTGCAACCACAGCTCATGTCCTGTTACTTTGCACAGGATATAATAATATCCTTGTAGATATATATATATATAATCATTATCAAAATATTCAGGAAATTCTGATCTCTGTTAGGTACATTAGATCAGTATGATAGTTTTATTTGAACATGGTTAAATTTCGCTACACTTATCTGTAAAATTAGGCAGATTTTGGCCACCCACCAATGATCTCATCCCTAATTATAATACACAATTATGTCTCCTTCTGTTTTGTTTTATTTTAATTTTATTCTGGTATGGGACCGTAATGGAAGCTGGACCATGCATTTAAAGCTTCGTATTTTGGCTTGCCATTCATTCAACCTTTGCATGGAATCCAGAACTACAGAGCTCCAATTTAACATATACCTCAACCATGATTGTGTTTGCGGGTGTGTTGGGCTCCCAACTGTAATATATAACTTTTCTTTTTGACAGCTTGATCAAGAATCCGGCTGAGAGAGCAGATCTAAAACAGCTTATGGTGAGTGAATGGTTCCTGGTTTGGTTTTTTTTGAAAGATGCATATTGCAAGATTCCTCCCCTTGGAATCTACTGGTTTTCATCAACATGCTAGAGTGGTTTCATTAAATATTTAGAAAGTCAACATGCACGACTTCCAATTAGGGTTGCTGACTATTCTGTTCTGTTTTCTATTCTATTCTATTTCTGTGATGGTGCAATTAGAATGCAGCTTTGCAGACTAATTCTGTCAGTTTGATCCTGACAGGGCTTAAGGTTGACTCAGCCTTCCATCCTTCCGCGGTCGGTAAAATGAGGATCCAAATTGTTGGGGGCAAGAGGCTGACTCTGCAAACCACTTAGAGAGGGCTGGAAAGCGCTATAAAGCGGTATATAAGTCTAGGGACTATTGCTATTGCTAAGAAGAGGAAGGAAGGAAGGAAAGAAAGGGTGTGATGGGAAAGGAAGGAAGGGGAAGGAAAGGGGAGGGAGGGGAAAGGAGGGAGGGATGGAGGGAAGGAAGGAAGACAACTGGACCTGGCACATCCATTTTAGTCAGCAAGAGGCTGACTCTGCAAACCACTTAGAGAGGGCTGGAAAGCGCTATAAAGCGGTATATAAGTCTAAGTGCTATTGCTAAGAAGAGGAAGGAAGGAAAGAAAGGGTGTGATGGGAAAGGAAGGAAGGAAGGGGAAGGAAAGGAGGGAGGGATGGAGGAAAGGAAGGAAGACAACTGGACCTGGCACATCCATTTTAGTCAGCAAGAGGCTGCAAACCACTTAGAGAAGGCTGGAAAGCACTATAAAGCAGTATATAAGTCTAAGGGCTATTGCTATTGTCTTTTCTCCTTACCAGGTCCACATTTTCATCAAAAGAGCGGAAGCGGAAGAGGTGGACTTTGCGGGCTGGCTGTGCTCCACCATCGGCCTCAACCAGCCCAGCACTCCAACCCACGTCGGCGGACTCTGAGCCGCTCCGCTGGTCGCGGTACGAAGACTTGCACCGGCTGCTGCTGCTGCTGCTATGCAACTTCCATTCCACGGGGGAGGCCGACTCGGAAACCGCTCACTCCAGACGCCCATCGATGCGCACCGGGGTCGGGGAGCATGACATGATGTGGCGCGTTGGTGTTCCCAGCCACCTCCCGCTGTTTAGAGCCACGTTTCTCCCCCCCTCCCCCTTCTTTTCCCATCAACTCAAAAAAAGTTATTCTGCTGCCCCTCCCGCCGCCACCGCCCCGCTTCTGTGCTGCGCGCCTTCTCAAGCTTGTCGTGCCAAATTCTTTTTCCAGGTCGAGTCCCTTTCGCGGGTTTGTGCGAACAGCTGTTGTGTTTTGATTCCCGGCGACCAAATGTGACGCTTCGCGCCGCCAAACTCGGCACAGTTGACGTGAATGATGGATGCCTTTCCTTAACTGGGGAACCTTCTCAAGAGACCTGGGTTGGCTGTTCCCGGCCTTCGTAGACTTTTGTCCCGTGAGCCTTGTGTAACTTCGGTGGTCTCTTGGTTTTTTTCCCCTCAGCTTTTGCTTACCCCAGTCCTGGTCAGAACATTTAGAGAGGGGCGGGTTGGTTTTGGACATGGATTTGATGCCACTAAGCTGAGGCGGGAGTCATGGAGAACCCTGGGTCCTTGAACTGGTGGGGAAAACCATTGGTGGGCTTCAGCCCGAGTAAAGGGGTATTATTATTATTATTATTATTCTTTGGCCTCCTCTCCTGGGTCAGTATGAACACACCTGTCGATGCTTTTTATTTATTTGCCTTGTTGGATATTTTGGGCTGGCTTGGCCTGCTGTTTTTCAACCTTGAGCACTTCCAAGATGGGTGGGCTTCAACTCCCAGGATTCCCCAGCCAGTTATTCTGGGAGTCGAAGCCCACCCATCTTCCAAGGGTCCAAGGTTGAGAAAGACCGGCTTAGTGGCACTCATCTCTTCCATCTATGAATTTGGTACCTGGTTGAGCACGGGCGATAGGAAACTCTCCGGCAGAATCAACGCATTTCTTTATCTCTCTTTCTCTTTCTCTTCTTTTAAAGGCACCGAGATTTATTTCCCTTCTAGGACGGCTGAGGTTATTAGATGTCATGCAATCTCTGCCTCCGTTGTGTTGGAAGCTTCTTTTAATCATTTTACTCTTTCCAGATGTTGAGCCAAACTGCATCCTTACATTTAATAAATGTCACCAAAATCACTTTGGAGAGTTTATGGGGTTTGTAAAACACGGCCGTTAGCTCGCTTTGGTGTTAAGGTAGATTTTTTTTATTTTTCGTGGCATTTTGGGGTGGGGGAAAGGAAGTAACTTCTGGGTTTAACTCTGCCTCTGATCTCCCAGGTGCGATCTACAAACACTCCATAGCCCATCTTACAGAGTTCTCTCTTCTCCAGATGGAGGACAATTGTGGACTGTACCGCATGAGGTATTAAGACACGACAGTATAGCACCTGATGGATGATGACCGTAAAGTAAGGGTCTTCAACCTTGGCAAGTTTAAGACTTGTGGACTTCAACTCCCAGAATTCCTCAGCCAGCAAAGGAGGGGCTCTCCAACTTTTAGCAACTTTTAAAGATTTGAGGAATTCTGGGAGTTGAACCCCGCAAGTCTTACAAAGCTGCCAAGGTTGGAGATCTCTGCCATAAAGCATAGCTCTCCCCCCCCCCCCCCCCAATCCAGGCCCCAATCAGAGTGTTGTACCCACAGATAGTCCTCAACTTACAACAGTTCCTTTAGTGATGGTTCGAAGTCACAAGGGCACTGGAAAAAGTGACTTATGACCACTTTTCAGACTTAGGACGGTTGCAGCCTCCCCATGCTCCCCCTGATCAAAATTCAGGCACTTGGCAGCTGGCTCATGTTTATGACGGTCGTAGTGTTCTGGGGTCATGTGGTGACTTTTTATTTTATTTTTTGCAACCTTCTGCCAAGCAAAGTCAATGGGGAAGCCAGATTCGCTGAACCACCATATTGCTCATTTAACAAATGCAACGATTCACTGAACGACAGTGGCCAGAACGGTGATAACATGGGGTAAAACTCACTTAACAAAGCTTTTCACTTAGCAGCATAAACTTTGGGCTCAACTGTGGTCGTAACCAGAGGACTGACTACCTGTACTGGAACGTGTTGTAAAACGCACCCCACAAACAGGTTGTTGGCACACCACAAACAGACCTAAAGGCAGGTCTGTCACTGAACAGCTGACGTGTGGCCACAAGACTGCAGGAGAGGGGCTGGCAATCAGAACTTTGGAACCAGGTTGCAAGAACCTTTTTAGAGGTCCATTGTAACTTCACGTGGTCCCAACAAGTTGTACCAAGTCATCTGTAGGAAACCTTGGAAGTTGTACTTTCAACAAGGGAGTATGGAAAGGCTAGGAGGCACACACAAATTTAAAGGATAGTAGTGACTTAACATATACTCTCTTTTGTGCAGGGGTGGGCCACAATCACAACTTCACAACCCGTGGGCTTCAGCTCCCAAAATTCCTGAGCCAGCTTCAGTTTCCGCGAGTTGGAAGTCCTCAAGTTGTAAAGTCACCCATTGTCAACTCATAAAACATTCCTAGGCCTGTTTTAGTCGTTGCCATTAAAAAACGGGGTGGGAGAGGAAGGACATCTGGAAGAGCCGTGTAGCAGTTTGTGAAAGCAAAAGTACATTCCAACTCTTCCCTTTAAAAGATTGTCACTCAAATACCAGAGCTTTTGCCCACGAATATATTTAATTGGAGAACGTGATTGACGACACCCAGCCCGTGAACTGGTTCAATTGGAGAATCTGATTGATGACACACCCAGGGGGGAGGGAGGAAACAGGGTCACAGGGGACTGTGAATGAGGTATGCCAGTGTTGGCTTCACACAGGGCAGTGCCAGTATGTTGCCTCTAATGAGTACTTAGAAGTTCTTTGAAGTTTGGCTCAAGGATCGTTAGGGTGATTGCTGGAATCCCGACAACCACAGGTGCCCACACTTGCTCTTGTGTGCCTGCCTTTGCAACTTGCCCCATTCCAGATGCGCTGCAGCTGGTTTGCTCCTTCCTGAAAATCAGTGCCGATATATGGTACACCACCTCCCAAAGAGCTACCAATTCACTGCAGTATCTTAAGAGTCAAACTCAGGGGGTGGGGGTAATGTATGCTTCCTGCCCCCCCCCTCAAAAGGACACAACTTCCTATTTGGGGATGATTTGTAATTCTGAAGACACAAATCTATCCCGAGCAATGCAAAGCAGAGCCATTCTGACATCTGTTGGAAGGACTGACGTGCCAACTGCCCGCTAGGAAAGTATCGTTAATATTACCCATAGTAAACAAAACATATTTTTTTATTCCACACAAGTTTCATAAAATGGGCCCAAACGAACCAGAATAAAGGAGTCATATACAGCCATACAGGGGGGGAAAAAAATCCCATATTTTTCCACTGCTTTTGTGCAATTTATCCATAGGAGGTTCAGGAAAACCCAACTGGCACAGAACAGGCAGCTTCCGAGCTTTTCCTGTTTTTTTTGTTTACAACCGGGCAGGAGATGATCTTTCGTGGACAGATTATTGCTTCAAAAGCTTCGTTTCCTGAACTGCTACTTGTTTTGAAATGTAGGTCTGCTCTAGAACGGGGCAACTTCCAACCTTGGCAACTTTTAAGACTTGTGGACTTCCAACTCCCAGAGTTCCTCAGCCAGCTTTGAAGTCCACAAGTCTTAAAAGTTGCCAAGCTTGGAAGTTGCCCTGTTCTAGAAAATGACTCCTGCTACATAATTAGGCTTCAATGCTGCCGTTTTCCAACCCGCCCCGTAATTTATTACCGCCTTCAGACACTTGTGAGATGCTCAGGGGCCTTTTCTGGTTGGGGTTTGGTCTCTGTAGCACCATACGAAGCTTCCTCCAAGCCGGGGAAAGCTTCGGAACCCTGGCCTGATATCAACACGGGTGCACTAGGAATCTGATTCTTCCTCCTCCTCCTCTTCCTCACCATCACCGTGCACTTGTAACTGCAGCTTAGTCTGATTAATGGCCAGTTCGTTGTCCATCTGTTCAAAGAAAGAAGAAAACGGGTCACTTTCTGCCAAGAAATATCAAGTTGTTTACAAACACAGTCCTTTCCGCAGTTCCAAGAAAGTTACACACCCATTTGCACTATTCAGGTGACCCGAGGGCACCGATAAACCTCCAAGTGGCCTCCACGAACTCTCAGGAAGAAAGCCCAGTTGGGTGAGAAGCAACATGTCTTCAAGAAAAAAGTCCAGCTGCCTTTAAAAAATAAGCATCTCTGGGGCCTCTCGAGCCACAGTGGCGCAGAGGTTGGGAGTGCAGTACTGCCGGCTACTTCTGCTGACTGCCGGCTGCCTGCAATTTGGCAGTTCGAATCCCACCGGGCTCAAGGTTAAACTCAGCCTTCCGTCCTTCCGAGGTGGGTCAAATGAAGACCCAGAATTGTTGGGGGCAAGAGGCTGACTCTGTCAACTGCTTAGAGGGGGCTGGAAAAGAAATGTAAAGCGGTATAGAAGTCTTAAGCGCTATTGCTATCTTCCATGGGTGTTTTTTTTTTTAAAAAAAAAGCGAGTTTCTTTGCTTGGAAATATTGTTCACCTACTTGGACAGAAACAGAGGAGAGCATAGGAAGAATCTTCCCTCAGTTGGCATTCTGGTAGATGAGGGACCAGTTACAACTTACAACCAGCGGGGCTGTGGATCATAAGCCCCTGGAGCCTTTTCTCCCTTCTCGTAAAGAAGACTCCATCTTTGTGGCCTCTAAACAGGAGAGCGACTAGAGCGGAGAGAAAGAGCCTTACGTTTATGTGCTCCTCCGTGACAGCAGCCGAGGGCGTGAACATCGTCCCTTCTCGGGCGTTGATCATGGACCGAAGAGCCAACTCTTCCACCTGGAAGCAGAAAGTCATGGTCAGCCTTGAAAGAAGCGTTAAGCAACGTCCTTGGCACCGTCAATCCTCCTTTAGTGAAATCATCTGGCTTAGAGCAGGGCTCTCCAACCTTGGCCACTTTAAGACGTGTGGACTTCAACTCCCCACTCCCCAGCAAAGCTGGCTGGGGAATTCTGGGAGTTGAAGTCCTCCAGGTTTAAAGTGGCTAAGGTGGGAGACCCCTGCCTTAGAGTGTGAAAAGATAACCTGGCCAGCCAAGGGCTGTGCATCCTAGTGCTATGATTTTAAAATGAATCCAGGGTTCACTTATGGCACAGTTGATCTCCCAGGAGGGAAAAAGTGGCAATTGCTCTCTTGCAATACAGGCAGTCTTCGATTTAGGACCAGAATTTCCATTTCTACATGAGTAGCACCTGATCTGACCACTGTTTTGCTACTGTTATTTAGCACTAGCAATAGCACTTGGACTTCTATACCGCTTCACAGAGCTTTCCAGCCCTCTCAAAGCGGTTTACAGAGTCAGCCTCTTGCCCCCAACAATCTAGGCCCTCGTTTTATTACTGACCTAAGAAGGAAGAAAGATTGAGTCAACCTTGAGCCAGTCAGGGTTGAACTCTAGACTGTGGGCAGAGTAAGCCTGCAATACTGCATTCTAACCACTGTGTCACCAGGGAAGGAAGGAAGGAAGGAAGGAAGGAGAGAGAGGGAGGGAGGGAAAGGGTAGAGCAATCGCGGTTAGACTTATATACCATTTCACAGTGCTCTGCAGCCCTCTCTAAGAGGTTTACTGAGTCGGCCGATTGACCCAACAATCTGGGTCCTCATTTTACCCACCTCGGAAGGACGGATGGCTGAGTCAACGTGGAGCCTGGTGGGATTTGAAATGCCAAATTGCAGGCAGACAGCAGGTAGCAGAAGTGGCCTGCAGTATTGCCTTCTAACCACTGTGCCACCCCAGCTCTTTCAGGAATTGCTGCCATTTGTTAAGTGAATCACACAGTTCTTAAGATAGATCAACTCTGTTCATCTATATGTTAAGTCCCCAAATTTTGATCACGTGACTGGGATGCAATGGTCCTAAACGTAAGGACTCGAATTTTATTTTTTTCAATGCTATTGTCAAGAAAATCGCCAAACTAGTGATTGTAAGGTAAGGAGTGACCTGTAGGTCTTCAATGAAGCGGCCTCCTCTCTCTTATAAACTACCAGTTCCTAGATTTTAAGGTGACACGTGTGGGCTCCCCTTTAATTGTATCCCAGCAACCATGCTGTATGATGAAATGAATATGACCCATTTAAAGTCAACTCTGGTCAAGGGAAGCCTGGAATTTAGACTGTAGTTATGGGAAGCATTTCTGGAAATTAACAACAAAAAAAGGCCCTGATATTTTGTGATAGAAACACTCTGTTTTGATGGACTATCAAGCCTCAAGGAGACCCCAGAACAAAGGGGAGACTTGCATCGCTCCCACATTTCAAAGACTAGCTACCTCAGGAGGACTAAAAACTGGCCTTCTTTTAAGCTCTAGGTATCTAAGTATTTAGGTATCCAAACAATTGTAAGTAGATCTGCAGCAGAGGAAGTGGAGCCGAACAACCAGGCTTAAAATGCTAATCCCCGTCCGGAAAGCACATTCCTGAATCTCTATTTATAAAGCTAGCCTTTGTGCGTTTGGCTGGGCCTTCCTTCCTCATTCATACCAGGGTCTTAGCACCTTTGCCAACAGCTGGCCCAGGACTCACAAGGCCCTGTGGTATTCAAATAAACAGGGCAAACACCAGGCCTGGAGGGCGGCTGGTTAAGCCCTTTTATGGCCCGAAGTGCCAGGGGGAGGAGAAACAGGATGTTAAAAGTCTCAAGCCACTGTCGGAGGAGGAGAGCTATCTTCATCTAGGGCAGGGATCCCCAAATTCTCCATCTGGCTGGAGAAGTCTGGGAGCTGAACTCCACGAGTCTTCAAGTTGCCAAGTTTAGAGATCTCTGATCTAGGGCAGCCAAAATTCAGAATACATTTATATCTATATCTATATCTATATCTATATCTATCTATCTATCTATCTATCTATCTATCTATCTATCTATCTATCTATCTATCTATCTATATGTTTTCTTTTATATATATATAAAATCTTCCAATGTGGAAGAGACCTTGGAGGTCTTCTAGTCCAACCCCCTGCCTAGGCAGGAAACCCTACACCACTTCAGACAAATGGTTATCCAATCTCTTCTTAAAATCTTCCAATGTTGGAGCATTTGCAACTTCTGGAAGAAAGTTGTTCTTAAGCTTTCATCTCTGAGGACCCCTCCCCACTTTTAAAAATTACAGAGGACCATAAATAAGCTTTTGTAAGCATGGCTTATATTTATCCATATTTACCATATTAACATTTTAAATAGATGCATTCGCTGCCAATTGTCAAGAATGTTTCACGGGACTTTTAATATTGAATTAATATGGCCTTGATTTCGAGGATCCCCATGGGACCTTGTGTCATCAATTTGAGACTCACTGGCCTTTAACAAAGCATTGGGGCGAGGAACATAGGCTTTGTTACTCCTCCATCCGATTTCCGATAGCTTTTGGATTAAAACACCCATCATCCCCAGGCAAAGAAATGGTCTTGGGGGCGTGCAGGGGGGGAGATGTAGGCCATTCAGAAGAACCTTTGGGGGGAAGTTGAGCTACAACCCTGCCTGCAATCGCCTTTTGTGTGTGTGTGTGTGTGTCTGAAAAAGCCCCCGCTGGTCTCTGCGCTTGCAGTCTTCCAAATCTGTTGGGACTATCATACCCATTATCCTGTGCCTTGGTTCTTACAGGCCTACAGACATTTCGGGGGGCGGGGGGGATCTATGGAAATTCCCAGTCCTCCAGGTCATGGCTGTCTCAAAGGTGCTTCTTTATCTTTTTTTTCCAAGAGGCTACTGGACTTTCTGGTGGTGGTTGTTGTTTTTTCTTTGAAGACGTTTCGTTTCTCATCCAAGAAGCTTCTTCAACTCTGGGGAATGGAAGTCAGAGTTGAAGAAGCTTCTGGGATGAGGAGCGAAACGTCTTCAAAGGGGGGAAAAAAAAATCCAGACAGTCCAGTTGCCTCTTGGGAAAAAAAGCACCTTTGGGACAATGGTGGGGAGGGGGTGGACACCATTGGGGGCTCCCTTGAGGCAAATCTCCCTCCCCCCAGACAGAGGCTGTGCCAGCGGGGTGCGACACGCGTTCGGGCGTCCACACGTGCGCAGTTCCGGGCTAACCCCCCCTCTCCCGGGAGGTGGGGGGGGGTCTGGCCCCGCTCGCTCCCTGCGCACCTTGAGGCGGGTGAGCTGGTCGTGCAGCGCCTCCTTGACCCGCAGCAGCGTCTCCTCCTCCTTGCGGAGCTCCTGCAGGCGGCTCAGCATCCTGTTCCCCTCCCCCCCCTCCGAGGAGGAGGAGGTGAGAGGGTGCGCGCGGGGATGACGTCACCGGCGAGGGCCCCCTCTCTCTCTCACCGGTCGGAGGGAGAAGAGGCAAGCGACGCGGGAGCCGCCATTTTGCTCCAGGGCGGAAGAGAGGGAAGGAAAAGATACCTGCCTGGTTTCGAGGCCCCAGCGGCCTCCCGCTCTTGGGGAGGTCTTAATGCTTCCTCCCCCCCCCCCCAAAAAAAATGGAAAGGGGAGCAAAAGCCAGCAATGGCCGTGGGGGGAGGGGGCGTGGAAGAGCAGCTTGTCAGGAAAGAGGCTAGAAGAGAGAAGGGAGCAATGCCCCACCTACCCAAAACAGCCCCATTTCCTTCTATTATTCAACCCAGAATAGAATAGAATAGAATTCTTTATTGGCCAAGTGTGATTGGACACACAAGGAATTTGTCTTGGTGCAAATGCTCTCAGGGTACATAAAAAAGATAAATTTGTCAAGAATCATTAGGTGCAACACTTAATGATAGTCATAGGGTATAAATAAGCAATGAAATCATACTAGAAATCAGTCAATATTCAACCCAGGGCATTATCTTTGAGGAACTGAGAAGAAATGCCCATGTGGTTGGTTTTTTTTTTTTTTTTTGAAGGATTGTTACCACCCTAATATTAGTGAGGGAGGTGGGCAGCTTAAAAATGTGATCAATAAATCCTCATATTACCAGCATGTATATGTACCAAATCTGCATTTATTTCCCCTGCTGACTGGGTCCAAGATAAGACTGTCCCTGTAGAGCGCAAAAGCTTACACTGGACATCCCAAAGGTATCTCAAAGGTGCACAACTTGGGATGGCTGAGAATCACTAAACTTACTCTGGATACTTTAACTTCAGATACACTACAATTAAAGCACTGGGGTATCTGCAAGAGATCAGAAGACCCCCATCTTCCTGTATCTAGGTATACGGAATAGATGTGCAAGGATTTTTTAAAATCTGATACAAAAAGGAAGTTCAGTATACACCTGTTACGTTAAATTTGTTAAAGTTTACGATGCATTCCCTTTTTTGGAAAATCTACTCCCAGGACAGAACACCAGAAACAGTAAGCAAACAGGGCAGACTATTCACATCACAGCTTTGTTATATAGCTGGGAGATCCCGGAGCAGGAAAGCATTAAAAAAAAACCGTCCAAATCTGAGGCAAACCTTGTTTCCCCAAAAGTACAGTACCACTGTTAATAGCACATTTCATATATACAGAAATAGCGTATCTGCTTTTCCAATTGATTTCTATTTTTCGAGATATTTATGCAGAAAAAGTAACCAAAAAAGGAAAAAAAAATATTTGTAAAGATTCCCACATTACTGCTCCTGGTATCTTGATAAAATTCCTTTTCTTTGGCTGTGATAGAGATTCCAACCCGCTGATGAAACCCAGTTTTCCCCTTCTGCCATTCCTGCAACATCTGCTTAATTTTTATGCAGTTGGTCCCTCGGGCGAATATGTTCATGCAAAGAGCATCCTTTAGCTCAGCCATGCTGCCCTACCGTATTTCCAATTATCTTGCATTCTACTGAGTTATGCTTACTCTGCGCAAATAAAAGATGAAATGATGACACCACTTTGGATATATTTTTTTATTATGAGTAAATTGAGATCTTTTAAGCATTGAATCATAAAAGTGCAGAAACTCTTTATGCTGAACTTTCACTCTTTTCAGCACCTGCCACTTGGATCTTCGCTTTCCCTTTCGCTGCCTTCTCTTCTCTGAGTTTGTGCTACAAAAAAAAAAAAAAAACAGAAAACGGTTCACAGTCATTTCTATTCCTTTAAAAATAGATATTCCAGAATAACATTTCAGAATAACATTTCATTTCACTTCAAGCCACTCACATTTTTAGCATGGCGCAGAATAGTGTTACGCCTCATCGTTTTGGCATATGGGTTCAGTTTAACCATGATTCTCAAATTCTTCAGTGGGTTCTTCTTAAGGACTCTACGGCGAATCTTCTTCCTGCAGAACAAACAGATGGGGACACAGAACTGTGAACACAACTTTGGTGGACCACTCCGTCTGCATGAAGGGACCAATACTGGGGAGAAGAGGTAACGTGCAGAAAAGTAGTACAACACAACTCCATCTTCATGGGAACACAAACACACTTTTGCCTCCAGAGGACATCAGAAACTTATGGTTCAGATACGTACTTGGGTGGACGTAGGGCCTTCTGGATCTCCTGGCTTTTGAGGATCCTTCCAAGATCAGTATTGGTCATCTTGTGCATTGGCAGACTGCACGGAAAGACAGATTAGAACGAAGATACAATTTTGTTAATTATTTTTCAAGGCAGAATCTATGTTGGAAGGTATTTTTAACATGATTACTATTTCATATTAAAAACAGGAGTGGAACAAGCATTTAAAAAAAAAAAAACCCGGACTGAGAACTATTATAGTACAAACCCATCCAAATGTGGTTATCCAGAGAATGGCTCTGGCACTTCAGATATGAAGGCCTGCAGGTATATCTATGCAACACCTCTCAACTACTTTATAGAGTTGCCAATTACACTAAGAAAGCCCCTGTCCTCTTCAAAGTTCAAGTACTGCACAGCTCCCACTATATTGCTATATATTATGAATTACTAAAAGAGCCATGGTGGCCCATGCAGTATTGCAGGCCGAGTCTGCCCAGTGCCAGAAATTTGACAGAAAGTCAACTCAGCTTTCCATCCTTTGGATGGAGGTAAAATGAAGACCCTGATTGTTGGGAGCAAAATGCTCACTTTGCAAGCCGTTTAGAGAATGCTGTAAAAAGCACTATGAAGCGGTATACAAATCTAAGTGCTACTGCTATATTTCCCCATGACTTGTACGTTGGCGAGATCTCTAGGGTCAACTTCTTCTATCAGTATTGGCAAGAATCTGTTCGTGTGCACTGGTACGTAGGCCTACAAGCCAAATGCCATTTCTGATCCCCAGGTGCAAAAAAAAAAGATACTGATCAATTCCCTTCAACACAAAGACCTCAGCATCATGAAAGGAACAGCAAAGGTGAACAATGGCTGAAGTCCTTCCCACTCAAAAGCCCTTTGAGTTGGACATGCCTGGTTTAGGGCTTTCAACGCTCCAGTTTGCAAAGCTGGAAAGGAAGCTAAGGCAGACTCACTTGTAGCTGCTTTTCAGGGTGGCAGGCTTGCGCCAAGTGCCGTATAAGTCGTCCAACTTGCGGAAAGCACTTTCGGTCCAGATGCAGAAACGTCCAACGTGGCCACCAGGAGCGAGTCTCAAAAGGTTCAGCTTGTTCACATTGAGAAGAGTGATTCCTATTAGGGGAGAGAATGCCAGGTGGCCTTTCATGTAAAAAATACCCACAAGGAGAAAGTTATTGTCTTAAACTCAGTCCATGAAGTTTAGAAAGTAAATGTGCCTCAAATGAAATCCACCAGCTTGATACTTAAGTCAGAACTTCCACCAAATCATGTGTTTTCAGAAACACGGACCAATGAAGTGGAATATCATCATTCAGGGCCGCCCTCCGGCCAACAACCTTGTTGCGAATCCTCGAAAGTAACGGAAAGGAGTACCTGGGATATTCCTGAATGCTTTTATGACGCCATTGTCTTCGTTATAAATGATGCAAGGTCCCCTGCGCTGGATGCGACGGCGGTTCCTCATTTTACCTTTGCCTGCCCGCATGCGCTGAGAGGCATAGACCTGGACAGAAACAGGCGTGTAAAAATCCAAATTCACCACTACAGGACAAACAGATCTGGTACCCAGCAATTCAGAATTTCACCATCGTCAACGTTTATCTGAAACACGGACCAGTGAAAAATTCATCATATGCAAAGGCAACAGTAATTATTATGTATGCTCAGTAGATTTTGGTATCTGCAATAATCATACATATTTGCACCAAATGCTAAGCTCTTTGAAGTTAGTAAATTCTAGAAATGAAGTTAGCAGAGATTTTTCAAACTAAATAAAACAACTGGCCTGTCCATCACTCAGCCACTCTTCTGCTTTAATTGAAGATCAACCCACCTTCTTGATATCATTCCAAGCTTTCAGCTTCTTAAGTAGGAGAACAGCTTCCTTGGTTTTTTTGTAGCCTTCAACTTTGTCTTCAACTACCAGAGGAAGTTCTGGAATCTCTTCAATGCGGTGACCTGACATAAAGATAGCAAAAGCGTCACTGAAAGTTTAGAGTCGACAAGCGAAGCCCAAATACTACCACCCTGACTTTTCTGTACACACAATATTCAAGAGATACCCGTGGAATTTCTTCAGAAACAGTGACACAAAACGAAGGGCCTATATGGTGGCAGGCAGTGGCCATTACAATCATACAACACTTGCACTGAAGGCATTCCATCAGCTTTCAATTCATTTCTGGGTACATCTAAAGACTTAATGGAGTGATCTAAGTTGTCTCCAGGATGACTAGTTTGTTGAAGGCTCTCATCCTGGTTGAGCATACTTCGTATCACTCCCACCCCTATCCTAATTGAAAGGAATAAAAGCAAGCTATATCTTTATGGTGCTCACAGCCGAATTATCTTCTCCCTAAAGGTTCATTTGGCACCCTACCCCTATACAACTCAATTAAGGCTTCTGAAGCCTTCTTGTAGTGTTATTATACTGGAGCTTGTATCTGTTGTGTTTACTTTTAAATTACTGCCTTTTGATTTTAGAATTGTGGCATATCATTACCGTGTTGCAGTATTAAGTTTTATGGATTTATCTATTGTGAAGTTGTTGTGATTACAAGGACATTTATACAAGTACAGTAGTATTTGATACCTTTTCCCAGGTATTATTTTATAGACTCAGTTCAGTTACATTTACCCTGTATCCCAATGCCATTGCAGAAAGACACTTGCCTTTGGACATGACTAGAGCTGGAAGGGCAGAAGCTGCCAGCGCAGAGCAGATGGCGTAGCGCTTCTGAGTGATGTTCACTCTGCGATGCCAGCGTCGCCAGGTTTTGGTTGGGGCGAACATGCGACCTCCACGACACATCTATGCATCAGGCGTCAAGGATGGAACTAGCTTTAGTGCAGAAAGCCCCTCTTCCACCTTGCTCAGAGTTAAAGGATCATCAATCACCTGTACCAGCTGAGGACAGCAGGCAACTGTCACTGAATACAGAGTAAGGCGCAAATTACAACATCACTGCAAGGGGCCTCTTTTCTTGTAACCAAAACAAGGCAAGCAATTGGTGTTAGGTTTCCTATGCTACAAAAGGGCTTTAAATAAATTGCCCATCAAATAAAACATATTTTAAATCATAACACAGAAGTTCAAACGCTATTTATGTTACGTAGTTGCTACGTATTATCAAATAATTTGTCTAATGAAGGATACATTGCCAAAAGCACCCTGGCCAGATCGATGAGTTCCACCCCCACGAACCCTTGGAATACGAGCAACTGCCCTTCCGGTACCCCAGGATTCAGCGCTGGTCTGGTGCCCTAGGGAAAAGGGGAAAAATAAATGATTCATATATATTCTTAAGTTTTCACAGATATCTATATGTATGGTATTCAGCTTTGTTCGGGTATTTTCCCACATCATTATAATTGTGTTTTTAAAGTTGTAGCGACATTTCAGCAGAATCTCACCTGCCATCCTCAGGCTTCTGTATTGTGTTCGGACAATATATATATATAGCGTGTATGTATATAATTATAATATATATTCACCACACTGATTATAGATTTTAGATAATCTCCCTAAAAATTAAGCACCAACATCAGAACATTTAGTAATATTAAAAGCAAACTTTTTCCAACAGGCCTCTGGAAGCAAACATGTTTCCTAATGAATTCATAATAAGCCATTCTAAATGTTATTTTCTGAAAGTGGTTATATTTGATTTTTTGCAAGTTGTGTATTATCTAAAGATAATATGATTAAGTGGTACTGAGATATGGGAAATTCAGACCAAGAGTAAAATTTCACCAATCTGTGCGTACTAAAAAGCTTTGTTGCAGAATCTCATTTTCAAACACAATGACTCTTTGGATGATCTTAAAAACCCAAACTAAGTCAAAACACCCATAATGTTTGGGTTTTTTCAGTGTAACATCTAAAGGAAGCATTATGTTTCATAGTGGATTACTGCATATTGCAAATCAAGTATCATCACCACTGCTTTGGATGTGATAACTACTGTTGATTTTAATATTGAAAAGCACTGAATGTCCATCTTTCAACGTACCTGCAAGTTCACTGACGGCATAGGGCTGCCTGCTGTTCTTCCTCAAATTAGTGTGAACAAAATTCACAATGTCTGGGCGAATTGGAGCCTTGAATACAGCAGGCATGGTGACATTTTTACCTGAAACTTCTCCCTTTTCGGAGTAAACCGATACTAATGGCCGAGTACAAGCCTGGAGGGGAGAAAAGGAGCATTAGACTTGCAATTCAACTCATTCTGCTGCTGATGCTCACTAAAATAGAATTATTGCTCAGTTTGGAAGAGTCGTCAGTTCAATGGCAACAGTTTATGGACAGCAGGCAACCGTCCCTGAATACCAGATAGGACGCAAATTACAACATCACAGCAATACATGTGCTCAATGCAGGCCTACACTCTGCATGCTGCAGCAGTACATTTCTACTTTAATGTTAAATGTGAATTATACTGCCTCTCAGCATGGAAACTTGATTTACCTCAACACTTGGTTGGGGGGAAGAGAGGATATCATTTAACACTGAGCAGTTGAAAGGCAAGAATAATGGAAGACCTGTTGTGTTGAACCTCATTTCTGTCACATGTGACCACCCCACCCCAATCCTTCAGCAAGCCCTGCAGCTTGTAATTTGCTTTGCTTCATAAAGCCCCTATGTGAATTCCAGCCATTTACAATCATTTCCAGGAATAATGTTGCTATTATTACTATTAAGATTTTAAACAGTGAGAGAAAAGAACTGTTACTCTTTTATAATGGATTTTTTATGTAGTTAGACTAGAAGATTCTTCTTTGCTCTTTTTGATGCTTTTCTGTTAGCTTCCTCTTTTTCTTTTTCTATATAAAACCCCCCACCCTAAAACCTAAAACAGGTTCAGTACAAGTTCATGATACATTGTTATAAGGGACATCCTCCCAAGGTAAAGCCCAGCAGTAAAACAAGACACTGAAACACAGAAAACAGTGTCATGCTGACCCTCAAGCTTATAGTTAATCTCTTTTAAAATATGGAGAATAAGGGGCGTGTGGGGAGGGCCTCTTAGGCATGGTGTGTTCTGTGCTGGGGTATCAAATGTATTGTTTGAATATGGAAGCTTGCTCTTCTTGTACCCAATCCACTTTGGAAGGGACTTGAAGGCCGGTTTGCAAACATTTATTTTCTTTAATAAACCTTTGAATTGTGAACCAGACCTTTTTCTGTGTTGAGTATTGAATAACTCAGTTCTTACATCTCACAATGGGGTCAGAATGATCTATGTACTCTATTATTATTATTATTATTATTATTATTGGACCACAGTAATAGTTTAGATCAGGGGTTTCCAACCTTGGCAACTTTAAGACTTGGGGACTTCAGTGCCCAGAATTCCTCAAATGTTAGTTGCCAAGACCTCTGCCCTAGATCACAGCAATACTTATGTAGTCACACTAGGTGCCACAAACCTGCACTCAACTTGCAACTACAAAGGACTGGCATGAAGGCATGTGGCTAATTTTTGGCCTTCATGCTAGATCTGGGAGATAACTTGATACGGAGATTCCATAGGGATTCGGGGGGGGTGCGTGTTGTGTGTATCATCTAACACTTAAGTCCATGCTCCTTGAGCAGTGAAAGGCCTTTAACACCCCGACCTGCTGACTTGCTTCCAGAAGCCCCAATGTGAATTTCAGCTCTTGACAACCAATGTCTAAGACTTCATATTTATTCTGTCCGGGTTACAGGAACTACCCAGCACGAGGTGGCAGCAAGATTCGTGCTTTAATGCGGCCAGGAATCCACGCTTCCATGATTGTTGCTGCTGGTAGAAGGATCGCGGATTAACTGTCCGTGGCGCCCCGCACGGGAGGGCAACCGTCCCTCCCCCTCCGGCCTACAAGCGGGGGAGAGGACTCTTAACTGCGAGGCGAGGGCCGGGCCTCCTCCTCGGCCTCCACGCGGCAGTGACTTCTCCAAGATGGCGCCTGCCCGGCCGGCCTCAAAGCCTGCCCGGCCTCCTCTCTCTCCCCGCGTTCCCCTGGAGGCGCCCCTTTCGTTCCCCCGCTTGTCAGCCGAGGCCTTCCGGCCGTCTCGCGCGGCTTACCCGCCACCCCACCCGGCCCGGCCCGGCCCGCTTCCCTCCTCACCATGATGGGCGCCTTCAAGACCGCTGAGGAGCCCCTCGCGCGGCGGCCCGTCTCCGCCTCAGCCCCGACCGGAAAAGGAAGGCCGCCTCGCAGCTCTTAGGATTTTGCCGCTTCCGCGCGCACGGCCCCGCCCCTTGACGAGCCGAATAAGCTCCTTTCCAGCCGGCAGATCGCCCGCATCTCCTTCCCTTTCCGTTCTGAGGTCCTCGTCTGACGAAGATGAAGGGAGAAAAAAAAATAGTTTCCAGCCGTATTATCCGTTTAAAGTCTCCTCGGGGGGTGCCGGGGTTTTATCTTTGGGGGGGGGGGGGAGCGGGGGAGAGAGGAAGGATCCGGCAGGCGTCTCTCTTACGGCGGAAGGATTCCTCAGGGGGGTCCACGGGAGATGATGGGAAGTAGTTCTGGCGCGCAAGTTCGAGCTACGGGAAGCGACTGCGCGTGCGCGCGGCTCCCGGTTGGCTGACGGTCTCTGAGGCGCCGGGGCTCGGATGGCTTCCCGGCGGCGGCAGGAGGAGACCCTCCGCTTCCATGGCTTCCTCCTGCAGTAAGTGGTCCCGTCGTCGTCCTCCTCTAATCTTGGAGCTGTTTAAAAAAAAATACATAGGGTTTTTAGCTCTCTGCTTTAATCCTCATAACAACCCAGCGAGGTAGGCTCGAACGGAGCTCCAGTTTTAAGGGATGCTTATAAAAATAGAGGGAAAAAGTGAAAACGCCAGGAATGAGCCTCACTAAAATACAGTAATACAGTTATTGTGATTTAGTTTATTTTTATTCTCTTGCTAATAAAAACCAGCCGTTCAAATAATTGCATTTAGGTTTCTCCTGGGGCTCCTTTGCCTCATACAAGTGATTTAAGAAAAAAAAAATCAAGTAAAGTGAAATTACCCAGATGTAGTTAGTTATTTTGCCATGTTTGGAACACTCCATTTCTGGACAGGGGTTGCTATTCATGGGTTAACTCTGAGGGAAGATTTGAACCCTGGCCCCGTCCTGCCAAAGCCGGGCATGAAAATACTGGAATGAGCTGAAATTCGTGGAGGCTGTGGGAAAAAAAAATGCAATATATACTTTTGGCAAAACTAAGGAAAGATTTATACAGTGTAAAACCAATGAAAGAAGTCCCTGCCCTCAAATCATGCTAATGCAGGTAGTTGTTGACTTACAACCATTTATTTAGTGACCGTTCAAAGTTGCAACAGCGCTTTAAAAAGTGGCTGCTTTTCACGCTTATTTTTTCACACTTATGGCCGTTTTTTTTCCACACTTGCAGCATCTCCATGGTTCACATCATTAAAATTCAGCTACTTTGGCCACTGGTTCACACTTATGACCGTTGCGGTGCCCTGGGAGGTCACGTGATTCCCTTTTGCAACCTTCTGACAAGCAAAGTCAACGGGGAAGCCAGATTCACTTAGCAGCCATGTGACTAGTGTAATAATTGCAGCGATTCACTTAACAACTGTGGCAAGAAAGGGTGTCAAGTGGGGCAAAACTCACTTAACAACTGTCTCAGTTAGCAATGAAAAGTTTGGGCTCCATTGTGGTCATATGACAAGGACTACCTGTATCGAATAGAATTAGAATAGACTTCTTTATTGGCCAAGTGTGGTTGGACACACAAGGAATTTGTCTTGGTGCAAATGCTGTCAGTGTACATAAAAGAAGAGATACATTCGTCAAGAGTCAAGAATCATTAAATACAACACTTAATAATAGTCATAGGGTACAAAAAGCAATCAGATCATACTAGGAAATAATATAAATCGTAAGGATACAAGCAACAAAGTTACAGTCATGCAGTCACAAGTGGGAGGGGATGGGTGATAAGGAGGGATGAGAAGTAACAGTAATAGTAGTGCAGACCTTGTAAATGGAAGTGAATGGAATAAAGTAGAATTGTTTATTGGCCAGGTGTGATTGGACACACAAGGACTTTGTCTTCGGTGCATAAGCTCTTGTTGGAAGAATTATCCTTCTGGGTTCAGTGCCAAGTGTGGAAAAAGATATTGGAAACATGGAGGCTGCTTGGAAAGATGGTTTAATGGTGGACAGGACCAAATGGCTTGGAACTCCAAAGTGAAAAGGATAACAGATAATCAGAGTTGGAACGGACCTTGTAGGTCATCTAGTCCAACCCCCCCGCCCAAGGGGGAGACCCTACACCATTTGCTTCAAGGTGAAAAGAGAAGGGAGTGGTTTTATACTCTCTGTTGAGATTTGAATTTGAGCTTGTATTCTGATAGGTTGTCAGACTCCCATGGGGCCATGAAGGGGCAACTCTAGGCTGTCCTGAGTCCCAGGCTTGGTTGAGCTATAGCTTTACCTGGAGATCTTTGTTATGTAAAATATTTGGCCCAGGCCTTAATGGCCCACCCATTAACAAAGGTGGCGGGGGGGTGAGTTTCTGCCTCTCAGAGTTTCTACTTTACTCTTTTTAGGGGAAATATTCTGCCTTTTTAATATTTCCTAGGATATTTCAATTTTCTAGGAGAGGAGTGCTAACTTCCTACACTCTCAGTGTACATAAAAGTTATAAATGATAAGCCATGATCATAGTCGTCATTAAGTTAGTAACACGGTTGCTAAGTGAATCTGGCTTCCTTGTTTCTTGTCAAAAAGTCGGAAATAGTGATCACGTGACCATGGGGATGCTGCCACGGTCGTAAGTGTGAAAAAAGGTCATAAGTCACCTTTTTTCAGTGCCGTAACTTCAAATGGTTGGATGTGTAGGTCTCCTGTATTCGGTTCCCATTTAGAAAGGTTGGAGCGGGGCTGAGTTTAGGTTTCCAGTGACTTATGAATATGTTTGGTTGGATTTTAATGGAAGCTGTTCGTGTTGTTTTGGAGAATTTTTTTACACCACATATATTCACAATAAATAACAAATAGTACCGTAAGAATTAAGTATTAAACTCTGTAATTAATTGTATAATTAATTGCATTTAGTCAAATCATTTTTTCCATTTTCTTAGGTTTGGGGGAGGGGTTGCTTCTAGATTTATCCGCTTCGGGGAATGCCTTCTTCGTGTAGAGTTCATTAAGTTCAAATTACAAGCGTAGTTGTGAAAAAATGTAATACAGTATATACTTTGGCAAAACAAAGGAAAAATTTACACAGTGTAACCAGTTAAAGAAAATATACATACAGGCCAAATATGCATCCTAAAAAGTTTGAATGAATGAAAAATTAGTTGATCTTTGTCTTGATTTTTTAGATCTGAAAAAGTGGGGTTAATCTTGGCTAGTACTTGGATGAGACACTCCCCAAAATCCTAGAGCGCCGAAGGCTAGACTGGGAAGTTTTATAAACACCTCAGAAAAAGTCATGGGCAAAGCCAGCTGGGGAGCTCTCGACCCTACGAAGAAAACAGAAGGAAGCCATTTCCAAAAATCTTGTTAAAAAAACTGCATTGTTTGCAGTATTCAGAAAAAATAAATCACTATTTATATTTCAGAGTATATGAAGAAGGAAAGCAGAATAATACAGCTGGCCCTTCTATTTTTGAGGTATGTTTATTGTTTTAAACATAGTATTGGTTTACAGGAAATGGTGTGCAGTTAAAGGTAGTGAAGTTTAGAAATGCTAAGATTTAAATTAGTTTAAGGTTAGATATAGATTCTAGAAGGGGAAAATATATAATGCTGAATGAAGTTTAGTTTATTTTCATTTTTTTAAATCTGAGAAATATTCCTTCTTGTTTTAAGGATAAATTTGGAAAGATAATGCTATATATGTACTCCAGAGGGAAAGGTAGGATATAAGTATAATAAATAATAAAAATGATAAGTCATCTTGATAGATATGTTGTATAATTCAAATTGAAAATTTGGACTGTTGATACAAATTAATTTGAATAAATTCTATGAAAGGAAATATAGATTCATTTTCTCTTTTCTCTGCAGCTTGGTTTGTGTTATTTGTATACAGCTTTACGGCTGTTTTCTTTAAATAAATTTTATTTTGCTAGGGAAGGATTATTAATAAGTCCTGGAGTCTGCTCTAAAGCATGATTGCAAAGTTATACATGTTTCAACATTAAACCTCTTATATAATCTGGTGGGAAAGCATCTTAATTCTTCACAGTCTTTATCCTCTGTCATCACTAAGGGGATCCCAGACCATAGAAAGTTACTGAAAACTCAGGTCTGAAATTCTGACATCAGTTAGAATGTCAGAATAATAATCTTGAAGTAAGATTATGCTGCAAAGGAAACGATGTGCATGAATGCAAATTGCTGTAAATATGCCTTTCAGTGTATAAGTGTATGGTGCTGTAAGTCAAATTATTTTTAAGTTTAGATTGAGAAAAGTACTATGGAAACAACTTGTTTCTTTTTACCAGACTGACCTACGAGTCCATTTGATCAATAAAGGCCATACAAATCCTTTAGAAAAGCTTTGGGACCCCAATGGAACATTTTTTATTGTAGAGAAAATGGTAAGTTGGTAAGTAAGTTGTCTATTTATATACGTTCCACCTTTCTGGAACTTAATAAATTTTCTAGCATGGCTGCTTTTTTGCAGAGATTACATGAAGAAACCAGCAGTCTGGAAGAATGGCAAAATGGTGAGCCTTCAGTTTCTGAGGCTTTTCTGAAAGAGAATTTATCAGGATCTCCTCTGGCCCTTTCAAGAGCAAGGTAATGCATGTTTGTGTGATTATTTTCATCTTTATCCTTTATATATTCTTTCTAAAGCAAACACTAATTTTATGGCCTAGCAGAACAGCTTTAATAATGTATATTAGTTTCTACGAAATGGTATCAACTTTAAATATTCGAGTGAGTAGAATTTTGTATCTATAATTCCTCAAAGGGACAATTATAAGATTCCTTTTGTTCATGTGTATATAATATGCATTCACCTACATGGAATTAGCATTACCTTTCTTTTTTAATTGATGTTAGCCAATTTGGGATACAAAAAAATAAATATTAAAAAAAAATACAGCAAATACTTTGTAAGTAATAATCTTCTATTCTGATATAATGTCTTTTCACCATTATTAGGCAGTTGATTTCTTTCTACACAATGTCTCAAAATCCAAACATGAAACATTTACAAATAAACCATGCAGTGCAGCTTCCTCCACTCTGGGTTCGATGTGAACCTTCTGACCCAAAAAAGACTATTTGGCTTGGAGCAGAACCTTTGAGGAGTGGGAACAGCCTTTTGGGAATCAGGCTTCACACTATTACTTGCAACAGTAAGTGTCTATGGGAGAATCTTAGTCATCCAAGTCATGGTTGTCAGAAAGGTGCTTTTTCAGAAGGCAAATGGACTGTGTTTTTCCTTGAAGACGGAAAGAAAGAAAACTGAAAAAGCTTCTTGGATGAGGAATGAAACGTCTTCAAGGAAAAACCAAGTCCAATTGCCTTTTGAAAGAGCGCTTTGGGATTGCTATGGTACAGTTTTGGCCTGTGGTGGGAAGTTCCATTAACAATGAGTAGAAAAAATGGAAAAATCCACTGTTTTTTTTTTAAAAAAAATAGAATCTAGGGTATATACTTCAAAAATGAAACCTGTTTTAGCAAATTGATTCAGACAAAATGTTATTTTTGAAGTTGTGGGCTAAAACTGTATTGGTTATTTAGAGTAGCCTCTGGAAATATCTCTACATTTGGATATACTGTATGTTTTTCTCTGCTTCAGACATGCAGATTAATTGAGGTATGTTATTAGTTGCTAATTACAATTTGTGATACAGTATCCGTTATATTTTAGCTGCTGATAGGAATAATATTAGAAGATTTTAAAAATGAAATCAAAGCTTTTTATCAAGTTTTGATAATTAGGAAGCCCTCATTTAATTCAGTTTTTCCCCTAGGTCCTGTGTCAGATAATAATTATTCTATTGGCTTGAAGGAACTGAAAGAAAATCATAGAATGAGACATCATGCTTCAGATGTACGTTTATTTTGATTTTTATTCACAACCAAATATATACTACATTTTTGAAAAATGAAATAAACAACTGAAAATTTTCTAAGTTTAGTACATAGTGTTTTATGACATAGCACAATAATTTTGAATTTAATATGCGCTGGATCATTCTATACTGAATGCAGAAGCCTTTGTTTTCAGTGCAGCTTTTAGGGAGTTTTAATTATTGTCATCTTCATCTGATGTTAAGGTCAGATTTCTAAAATGTGATGTTTTCATGGCTCTCGTCATTCGGAATGGCTGGCTACAACTGTGAACTTTCTTGTGTTGTAGCTGACAGTGGCAGGCTTTGCCCGATACGGATTTCTTGAATCCCCTTCACTGGATTCCTTGACTCGGGAGGATTCTCTTATTCCACTGGAGAGAAATATATATGCCGATTTTGCTTGGGAGGGTGTGAAAAAAATGCTGCAGGTCCCTCCTCCCTCATCTACTGCTCTGCTGGTAAGGAAATCAAGAGTTTCAATGCTGTGATAATAACGGGCGCTAAATGTCGCTGCTCGTTTAGCAATCATTTAATTATGAACAGGGTAAAGGAGGGAGTGCGCAAACACCTTGTAGTAAAACATACGTTATACAGTATACATACATACAAACATAAATACATACACATACGTACATGAATCATTTTACTTTTGAAAATTTCAGACACTTCAGATGGCCTCTGGGAGCCTCTTGAGTTCTGTATATGAGCCAAACAGAGAATTGCAGTTTCTCTTGGTAAGTATTGCGACATTATAGAAGCCTCGGTGGCGTCGTGCTGTACTGCAGGCCACTTCTGCTAACTGTTGGCTGCCTGCAATTTGGCTTTTTAAATCCCACCAGGGTCAAGGTTGACTCAGCCTTCCATCCTTTGGAGGTGGGTAAAATGAGGACCCAGATTGTTGGGGGAAAGAGGCTGACTCTGTAAACCGCTTAGAGAGGGCTGTAAGGCACTATGAAGCAGTATATAAGTTTAAGTGCTATAGCTATTGCTATTATTTCCCAGCCAAAAATAATACGTAGCTGAGTAATAGCAAGGATGATTGCTAGGTTTTACTCAACAGTCTTTTGAAATGGAGTCAAGGTAGAATTATGAAATATGCTTTAAATGAATTTTTTTAATGTGATAACACTTAAATGTCTTGGTAATTTCAGTAGCATCTTTTGTGTGTGTGTGTGTGTGTACATCTGGGCACATAAGTATATAACATATCCTACTGCAGAGCAAACCCCCTTAATTGGATCAATCTATTTCTGAGGCAGCAGCCTGTATTAAATAGCCATGTATGCTATTGTGTGTTGCACTCTGCTGTATCGAGCCATGACTTCAGACTTCTTTGTTTTTGGATGACGGTGTTAGAGTTTGGCTGAGATTTTGAAGAATGGAGTAATAAAATGGCCGAATGCCCTGGGAAGAAAGTCTGCTGTCGAGCTAGTACAGAAACTTTTGAAAGGTAATGCTAAGCATTTTGGAAATAATTCCCTTGAAGTCTTAACTGAAATATGTGTAAGGGCTGAGTTTGCATTGCACACTTGGTTTGCTGAGTAAATTAGAGTGGCTGGATTCACACAACACATTAATCCCGAATGGAAAACACCACCTATGAGCCAATATGTGGCATGGAGGCAAATGTGCCATGTCATCATGAATTGATGTGTTCAGGAAATGTTCCTTCCAGCCAAAGTTGCATGAGAGCAAAGTATGTTCTATTACATTAAAACTGATGGCCATAGTACACAGCTTTTTTTTCTTTTTAGACGTAAAAGATGAAGTAGATGGACTGAAGTCACACAATGAAGATGATACTGAGGTATTTGATAAGATAGTGGAAAAATATTCCCTCAGAACTCTAGATTGACTGAAGACTGTTTCAATATTGAAGCTTTCAATTAGTTTTGTCTCAACTAGAATGGCAAAAATAACCGACATTTTTGGGGGAGACCTACTTCCAAGCCTGGTATAAGTAGTTGTTGTTTAGCTACTGCTTCATTCAATGGCCATTCAGTTACTCAATGCCTCTAAACTTAAATTGAATTCTGGGAGGGGACTAGAAATGGCAGAAGTTGTATTAGAAGTGTCAATCACCCTTTCTTGGAGGGTTGATGGCAAAAGAGTGTAACGTTTCCCACCATCTTCATAGCTTTTTAATGCGCTTTGTTATTTTGAACCTTTAAAATTCTATTTCTAGTTTTCTTATTAATGTAAATACATGGTTGTAAAGTTTCTTTGAACTGTGACATTTAAATAGCTAACGTTGTAATTCTGGTTTCATTTTGAAATTTGAAGTTCATTTCTCCTTGCTGAATCTCCAGGATAACACTGCTGCAGTCATTGGTTCCATGAAAACGCTTTTCAGTCAGCGCGGAGCCCTTGATTTCCTTGAACTGCTCTGGTGTAATATATGGAGAAGTATGTATGTTTCTAGGTTCTGTCTCTCAAAACATTATGAGATGCTCAGTCTTTAAAGGGACCAGGGAAGGATTTCTATTAATTCCCCTGGTCTACTTTGAGTTAGGTTACAACTTTATGTAATACTTGACTTTTCTCCCGCAAGACGTTGCTTCGCACGAGGAACTAGTGGAGTGTCTTTCGTTGGTAATAAGAGCCCTTCAGCATGGAGAACTGCAGACCTGGGTGAGTTGGAGTAACGAACCTGGAATGCAGGCAGAGCCATCCTGCATTTCAGCGTGCCCAGTTTTTTTTTCCGGACCAGGAGTTGATGCGATGTGCGAAGAGCTGCACTTCCTGAAACCAGGGGCAAGATTAGGACAGGGAACTAGGCAGAACCAAATCAAAAGCTAAGCTGAATGCAGTTAAAGGTATTCTTTGATGTATGACCATTTGTTCGGTGACTGAAATAATGATGGCACTTGAAAAATGGGCTTACGACCTGTGCCCCAAGTTACAGCAATTGCAGCACCACCATGTCACGTGATCAGAATTCAAGCACTTGGCAGCCCCCTTGCACTTATGACCACAGAGGCACTTCAAATCCCCCCAACCTGCCTCTTTCTTTCCCCCCCCCCCTCCCCCCTTCATGGATGGCAAAAACTGCACAAGTTCTACAGCTGCTGCTGTGCCCAGAAAGCCTCAGCAAGCATTCATTTGCCCATCCACCTTCTTACCCGCAAACCTTTCACCTTTTGTGCCTAGCACCTCGCTGCGTTTGCTTTCTCATTTTCAGACCCTGCCACTCTGGCAAACGTTTCCTACACGTAGCTAGAGCTGTACTAGCCACTTCAGAAATGGAGAGGGATGGAGAGCCACCTGGGGATGGGGAGAGAAGGCATGTCCTACAGATGTTTGTTTGTTTTAAAAAATGACAAATGTGATATAAATTGGGAACTCCCTGGTTTAGGGGTTGCTTGATCGAGGTTAATGAGTCTTCCATCCTCAAGTCTTCTCAATAATATTACATTGAGCACTTCATAGAATTCAGATCCCTTAGACTTTGGTTGCCAGGGAAGCAGCCTGTCATGGCACAACATTATGTGGTTTATTTAATTCTGGCTTATGTCTATTCCTGTTAAGAAACTCCAGATTTATTTCCCAAGCCGTAGTTAGATAAAATGTGACTTGGAAGGAGTTATCAATCCAGTCAAATAGTCTTACCTGGCCAAATATATATATACTTAATTGCTAGAAATAGTGTTAGGGTGTGGTACTAAGAAGTACTTTCTTTCCTGCTGATCTTTCCAGCAGATACATCTACTAAGGAGGTGCTTAAAAAGTCAAGATGGCAGCCACAACCATCTGATTAACACTTCAGCTTGTAGAAGTGTTTTTAATCTTATGTCTTGCATTTCCCCAGACAATCTTTTCAGGGGATTTGCTTCTGAGGTTTGGGCTGGATAATTCACTCCTTCCTTCTTTCCATCTTCTAATCCCCCATCTTTCCATGATTCAGTCTCTATATTTCACATTTTTTAAATTCTGATTTCATCTGTGCCCTGTGCATTAGGGAGTCTCAAATATTCTGGTCTCATTTTGTGGTTCCAACTGAGCTTAACATGAGGCTGGGGGTGATGGTTGGCGACTCTATTTTGGTTGAATGGTAGGAGCAGGAGGCTTACTTTACACACTTAAAATGCATAATTTATGTAATATATGGAATTAGATTTATTTAAATGGTTATTTTGAGATATTTTGAGATATGTACTATAACGAGCAGGAGGGTCTGTGTAAAACATGGGTTCTCTTTGTAGATTCATCAAGAGAGTAATAGCTTACTAAGCAAACTGATCAAGCAATCTTACCATGGAAAGATGGAAACCGTTTCTCTCGATGGAGATTCTCCCGTTCAGATGCTTCTAGAAATAGGCGTGGATAAAATGAAGAGAGACTATATCAGCTATTTTGTGGGTACGTTGGGTAACCATCCTGATTTTGGGTAGTTGTGTCCAAATGATTTATGGTTTTCTCTGTTAAAAAACATATTAGTATTTTGTCAACTAACATCAACGGTGAGCAAATTACATATTAGACATCAAACTTCGATTTAATTTACAACTAACAAAACAGAGACTTTCTGAACAAATTTGCTATCTGACGTTGCTGGATCCTTCCCCACAGTCACTTTACCCTGCCAACCTCTGAACCAGGAAAGGGAAAACTCTTCAACTGTCTCCTAATTCCAGTTTTTCTTTCAGTTTTTCAGGTGGTTCCCATAATGCAAACATGGAGGCAAAAGTCATTCTCTCCAGCTTTTGGCTTTCTAATTTTGTAATAAATCAAGGCTTTCATTGCAGCTTTTAGCATTTATTTTGTATGAAATTGTAATACAAATTATGTTTTCCGTTTCAGGCAAAGAATTTGCCATACGGACTCATTTGGTAAGTCACAGCTCTCACTTTCCAAATAATAACCATATAAGTAGTCCTCGACTTATGGCCACATTAGAATTTCCGTTGCTAAGCAGAGTGGTTGTCAAAGGAATCACATCCGATTTTATGACCTTTTTTGCCACAGTTATTAAGTGAATCACACGATCATTGAGTAAATCCAGGGTCTTCCATTGGCTGCTTGTTGGAAGCCGGTGAGAAACTCGGGCACAGATCACAATCACATGTCCCTGGGACCTGGCTGGTTGCCGAGTGCCTGGATTTTGATCACGTGGCTGCGGAGACTGCAACGGTTAAAAGCGCAAAAACAGGTCATAAGTCGCTTTTTCAGCACCATTGTAACTTTGAACAGTTGCTAAACAAATGACTGTATGTGTCGAGGACTACCTTTACTTGAGAGTCGAATAGCCACAGATGTCTAGCGTGGAGGGCATTGGGGAGATTTTTACTGGATTTTTGCAACTGAGGCCGTCTGCATATTGTTATACATTTGGGAGCCTCTGTGGCACAGTGGTTAGAGTGCAGTACCGCAAGCTACTTCTGCTGTAACCAGCTGCCTACAATTTGGCAATTCTCATCAGGCTCAAAGTTGACTCGGACTTCCGTCCTTCTGAGGTGGGTAAAATGAGGACCCAGATTGTTGGGGGCAAGAGGCTGACTCTAAACCGCTTAGAGAGGGCTATAAAAGCACTGTAAAGCTGTATATAAGTCTTAAGTGCTATTGCTATCTACCCAATCCTTAGGAAAGTGAGCATTTGGTTAAGATTACCGTTGCTGTCAATAGTTCCTGATGCTTGTTCTCGTGTTCTCTCTTTCGAAGGATTACTTCATGTCCACTTCAGTAGATCTTCAGGAACAGGTTCATCGTATCCAGAAACTACACCACATGTTGGAAATTGTGGACAACTGCTTAGACCTTCTCAAACTGGAGCATGAGAGCCTCATCTTCCTGACGCAGTAATTGCTCCCAGCAACTTTTTCTTAACAAGAGAGTTCCCTCGAATAAACATGATGCTTGGGGTGGTTTTGCTTCGCAGAATTGTACAGAAAGTGTGCAGCTTCTATGCTTCTCTCTGCACCGGGAGAAGGAAGGCTAAAGGAACATTTCAGAAGTATGGGGAACCACCCATAAATCAATAATTACTGAATTGATCCTTTAGGAGTGGCATTTCATTCTTCCCTTCATTTTCAATTCCTATCTTTGTATTACATCAAGAGGCAAGGGAAGAAACTCTATTCTTCCCATTGTATCCCTAAAGTCACAACACAATTTATTTTTGAAGAGAGAGTTCTCCCTGAGGCGTGCTACTTAAAAGACCATCTCCAAGGAGTATTATTAAGCGGGGAATACACTTTGAAACTGAAAGTCTGAATGTGAGATCCATTTTTGCAAGGGTTTAAAGCTCACAACAATAGTTGAAAATGACCCTTTCAAACTTAAAAGACGTCTCAATTGTCACAGAACAAATATTTTGAGACTTGTAAATCCCTATTTCTTACTAAAGTGAAAACTTAATCCGGTATAGAACAGAAAGGTATTTGATATGACTGGGAAGTGATTTTATGTATTGCATTTGATTAAATATGAAAAATGAAATCAACTTTAGCTTTTGGCCTAGCTTTGCCCACTTGTTTTGATCTGCTTATTCTTTAGCTCATATAGGATACCTTGTGGGTTAAGTTCTCAGCTTGGGTATAATTAGCGTCTTTTGCTTTTTATTCAGTTTAGCCCAAGTTTCTTCTCCTTCCTAGAAGCTGTTAGAGTCACGAGTCTCCATTGTGTTCACTTATATGCTACTTTTGCATGTTCGTCATAATATCTATCTAAATTTCTATTTATAATATTAAATATAAATATATATTAAATATACAGTAAATATAATTGCATGTATTGAACAGAAATCTGAAGATGCCAGTGATTTTGATTTACACTGTAATCTATATAAGTTCTCTACTATTTTTTTCTAAGAATTGGTGGTGTGAAAATGTCTTTGTTTTTGTAGGTCTTGCATCAATTACTATAAAGAAAACCCTCTGAATGAAAAGCATGCATTTCAGCTACCAGTCAAGACAAGTTTGGTGAAGGAATTTTACCAAAAGTAAGTCAAGTCCTCAGGGAGTTAAAGGCCCTCCATCAATTGACAGAAAAGCAATAATAAATAGCATAGAAGCTTCCTTGTCAGGCAAAGCTGGGCAGTAAGTTAAAACATTGGCTTTGAGGAGAGACGTCATTTGCAATTTCACGTAGGGCTTCAGAGGTGACAACCAGCGCCCTGAATTGCACTCAGTACTTAACAGGCTGCCAATGCAGCTCCCGTTATAATGCGGTGGGTGGACCAACCGCCGTGTCTCCGTGATTACCGGGGCTCCTGCCTGTGACACCAGCTGAAGTTTCCAGTGGGCCTTCCAAGACAGCTCCACTTAGAACCTACTAGAGCCGGGGTCTCCAACCTCGGCAACTTTAAGTCTTGTGGACTTCAGCTCCCAGAGTTCCTCAGCCAGAATTATGCTGTCTAGAGAATTCTGGGAGTTGAAGTCCACAAGTCTTCAAGTTGCCAAGGTTGGAGAGACCCCTGTGCTAGAGTCAACCCGTTTGTGAAGGATTGTGAGTAGTCAGCTAATCAAGGAAAGGCCACCACTGTTGCTGCATCAGACTGAGTGACTCCCGTGCCCTGGTGGCTGCAACTTCCATGTGCTGTTCAAGTAGGATTCCAGGTGAATCCCAGGCTTCCCCAAGGGGTGTCCAGTTCCATTTGCCAAAGTCCCCCAAAGCAACTATCGCGGGACTTGATCTGGCATCCGAATCCAAGCTACTCTGTCATGGTAGAATCCCTCTTCAGGCCTCACAGTCTCCAGGAAACAAGTCAGGATTTCTACTTGTATCCTGTCAGCCGACCTTGGAGATGTTATTAGCATATCGCTGATGCCTCTCCCCGTCCTAATGAATAACCTGTCCCAGTCATTTCATACCTTGGTGTTAGAGAGTAATGGGGAGAAGACTGAGCCCCACTGAATGGGGTGGCTGACCGCTTGACCTTTCCTCACTGTCTCAGCCGGCTGGAAGCAGCCACTGGGGAAGGAGAACCCCTCATTCCCAGCCTTCACTGTCAGGACTGAACAATATTAAAATGAATTCTCATACAATTCCTATTTAGTGAATCCAGATGCTAAGCAAGAGAGTCTTTAGCTCCAAACTAATTTCAGAGAATTGCTGAAAGGCGTTGCTCTGGTTAGTCAGGCGTAAGACTCAGTTTTCCTTTGTAGGTACAATATGCAGGGATAGTCTTGAGATCTGACCACCTGTAGGAGACCCTCAGGTTTTATCACAAGAGTTGTCCAAGTACACACACTTCTTTAATATTTTCAATTCTTGTTTTGTTTTTTACAGTGCTCATCCTCAGATATGGAGAGTGGAAATCAGCAGCGGTCAAGGACCAAAAAGGGTGAAAACAATATGGCAGCTTAGCAGCACGCCTCCAGCTGAACACGACCCGGCCAGCGGAGGTGAGGAACCTTGGCAGTCTGGAATTGAGAACGGCATTAGCTTTTATCTTTTGTTTCTTACAGCTGCTGTTGTCATCAAATCCCTGTTTTGAAATTTCCTTCTGGGATTTATTAACACATCACTCGGTGGCCTGCGGCAAGCAATCTTTTGTGTCCCTTTGTTTATTCTCTGGCTTCTTATCTATGGATCTTATCTATCTTTCCATTTGTTTTTAATGTTCTGTTCTAACAGATGATATCCACAGATCTAGGTACAACTGCATTTCTGTCTATGAGAAGAATCCCCTTGTTTTGTTTTCCTTTTGGTTAAAATGATAAGAGCCCATATTTGACCTTCTGCCTTATCTTCTTATGTTTGGGGAAGTTAGTTTCCAGAATGAGTAAATTCTGACTTTCTTGTTTTGCATAATTTCAATTGGGTTCATAGCTGGGAGACCGTCCAAATCTGAGTCGTGGGTGTATTTATGTCAATAAAATTCCCCTGTAACGGTGAAAGAGCCCTCCTAAATAAGCCCCCCATTCGAGGCAGTTAAATGTTTTGAGTTTCCCCCTCAGGTTTGTTACTATTGCCTTTTGTTCTGCAGATTCACTGGATGACACCGAAATTTGTGGCAACAAAGAGAAGCATTTTATCACTCTTTCTGAGTGCTCTCAAGTGGACTTCATCTAAACACGTGCAACTCATGAGTAGAGCTTCATTGCAGTGCTCCGCTGCCTGTGTTGAAATTCTTTCGCAGAAGACAGTTTTAAGGGGAAAGTGCATTTTAGTGGAGAGCAGGATGTTGAGCTTGGAGGGTCGCATCCTCTGTAAATACGATGTAGGAGCTGTGGCAAACTTCCCAATCCTGTGCCACCCAGGAACGTTTAACTATGCTACGTCTTATTTCTGCCTAACAAATGCCTGGTGCAGGCTGGCGTGGGCTGCAAGAGGTTGTGCTTCTCTGGAGGACACAAGGACAGGCAGGGGAAGCCATCCGAACTGTTTTTATCTGTAGTACTATATATCAGAATGGGGGAAGACAGGGAGCACCTGTAAGAAAGCAGGAATAGATTAAGAGATTACCATCAACTGGTTGTAAAAAAATGAAATAATCAGGCATATCTGATTTCCCAAAACTCTCAGTACTTCGTTTTTGTAACTCTGTTTTAAAAAGTTGTGTTGGTTTTTGAAACAACCTGAGATTAGCTAGCTCAGGGGTCTCCAAACTTGGCCACTTAAGACTTCCCCATGCCGACAGGGGAATTGTGGGAGTCGAACCCCACAAGTCTTAAAGTTGCCAAATTTGGAGACACCTGATTACTAGCTTCTAATCCAGTATCTTTGAAAGGTCATTCTTCTTAATAAATGACCCAGGAAAAGGTGAATTTCCTGCCAAGATATTCAGTGATTCCTGCCAGTTAATTCAGTTCAAAATTCAGACTGATGGAGTTGTACAAATTTGTGGAACTTTGCAAAGTAGAAGTAATTTCCGAAGCCTGTCACAGAGTTGGAACGTGGACCCCTTTATCCTCTCTCTTGGGAAGGGAAATTGAAAGACAATCCCAACGGCTATGATCTCTATATGCAAGTTTCAGCCTTGAACTTTGGACCCAAATATGTGGGCTAGGCAGAAGGTTTTAGGCTGGGAGGGAGAGGGGTAAAAAAGACCAGGACACAAGCAGTGACGGTCACTAAGGGGAGGAGAGGAGCCTGGCTTACAGCCCAGGGAAGAGGAGCCGAATGACAGGAAGGCCACCAGCTTTGCCCAAGAGACCTTCCCCATTTTGTGTGAGCCAAATCCAGGGGCCAAGAAAATGTTCCATATTCTGATTCTATTGAGCTGTAGCCCACCAGGAATGATTTTGGTGGCATTTCTGTGCCTTTGAATTCGGTAGGAAACACTGCATTTTTGTGCACAGCCATAATAGTTAAGTTGGCTTTTAACTAGTTTTGGGATTGTTGGGAATTTTAGCATTGCCTCATTGAAATGTATTTTACGAGCCACCAAGGATTGGGTGGCATATATTTATATTTGCTAAATAAACCTATACAGCTTCTCTCTTCTGTGATGTTGCACATTGTGCATAAGTGTGTCCTCATAGGACTTCGCTCAGCGGTCTCCACTAACATTTCCAAGTGTGGAGAATTCACAAGTTAATGCAGGGCTGTTAGGTCACTTAATAAGCCAAGTCTCCAAATGAGAGGCCACTTTCGTTCTGCTTCTAGGAGCGTCACTAATGGAACCTTCGTTAAACCATTTTCGGAAGCTAATTTTTCATAGAATTGGAATTATCATTCAAACCCCGGCACTAAGTACAACTGTTGACCTTTGCAGGTAGTTGGTTATCTAGCCTGCTAGTTGAATCTTTCTCTGATACCTGCCTTGGATACTTGCACCATCCAACTGCTCTTAACTGTTTCTCTCAACACTCAGAAAAATGCTGCCAGATCCCTTTCCTTGTCAGTCTTATCAAGGTTTAGTCTTTATACAGTTATAAAATTTAAACAATTTTGTCTCTAGTTCCTCAACTTCCTGCCCTTGGTATATAAGGGGTCCCCAACCTCGGAGCTGCAGGCTGGTACTAGTCTGCGACCTGTTAGCAACCAGGCCACGCAAGCTTCTGTGCATGGGCAAGATCTAGGTTGCATGAAAAATCACACACACCCATCTGTGAAAAAATTGTCTTGTGCAAAACCAATCCCTGGTGCCAGAAAGATTGGAGACCACTGTAGCATATGAACCAATTCATTATCTGAATCCTTAAAGCATGTTACACGTAACTGGTCAGGACTGAGCTGGGATCCATCAATGCTAAATTGACTGGAATCCTGGAATCCTACCACTCTTTGCAGGCCGTAGTTTCATTGTTAAGCTAGGATTGTGTTTGCCACTATCCTGCCGCTGCTAGATAGTCAGTTTATAATTGTTTACACTTCCAAGATCCGACAGCTTGGAACTCCCGTTCTTACACTCCCGTGTTTGGTTTCAGTTGCCTGAGTAAAATATTTGCCTTTGCTTCTGTAAACATTTATTATCTGTGGTCTCTTTTTGTCTTAACCTGCCCAGATTGTTTCCAATTTTACTTCTGTCTTCTCAAATATTAGCTGCCCCTCTTATTTTTGCAACCTCTGCATCTTGCTTTCCTGAAATTTACGGTGACTGCTAATGGCAGTGGTATGAGCCGAAGGTCTCTGACTACAGAAAAAAACCCTACCGACCCACTATACGGTTTTCTTTTAGTTAAGTTTTTTTTTAATTTTTAAAAATTTATTTTTAAAAAAAAAAAAACTTTTGATAAATAAAGAGCGGAGGTCCTGCTCGCCAACTCCTGTTAGCAGATGCTGCGTTTGTGCCTGTTGAAAAACAGCTCCTGGGGCCAGCCATAACTGCCCTTGACGGATGCTTCCTTCCCCGTCGAAGGAAAGCGGTCAAAAGCTGCTCACTTGCTCCAAGTAACAAAAAGCAGATGAGAGATTCAGCAAAAAAACCCGCCTCTCTTCTTTTATTAATGACATTAAGATAGTTCAAGGAACACTTGAACATTTTGGAATCCTGCTGGGTTCTGACTTCTGTAGAGATTTCCTTTTACTGTGATGGGGATCCAGACGAATCTTGGAACTGGAAACAATCCGCTTTTGAGAAGTACTCTTTAGCCCAAAAAATATCAAAACAATTTCAAGCTCTTGCTTGCAAAAGTAAAATATGTTTACTATTTTGGAACCTCCACAGTTTTTTTTTTCCCCCTCTCTATTTTCCATTTCATGCTCACCTTGCCATTAATTCAGTTAATTCAGAAAGCATCGGGAGCCTCCAATGTGTATGTATACCCCATGCTGGCTGGGGAATTCTTGGGAGTTGAAGCTCAGAGGTCTTAAAAGTTGCCACAAGGTTGAACACCCGTGAGATAAACATTTAAAATTGAAGCTGCTCCTCTTGTGCTCACGCAGGCTTAAGAAAACCCTGCCAAGACTTTGCAACAATTTGCAGCACTCTATCATTCATGACCCAATGCTACAATGCTCTTGTTGCTGTGCCATCCTAAATTTTCTATTCTGGGAAAACTGCTAATCTCTCCTGAGCGGAAGTGTTTCTACACCTGTAGTACGTGTGCAAATGCTCACACATAAACCTAAAAACAAATCCATGCAAAGGAGTATTAGAATTGATATATACTAATTTTATTTCCACCTAGGTAGTAAATTAAAATGACAAATTAATATATACGGCAAGCAGCTTCTTCCCAGCCAGTCTGTACTCTAATAAACTTAGTAATCTCCCCTACGGCATGGTGGCTAAGAGCTTTACTTACTATGTAAGAGGCTGCTGTTTTGACATCCAGCAGAAACTTCGTAGAAATAATTATTTTCACTCAAGTGTCTGGAGAAACGAATGCTGGAGCTTTGCATTCTATCTTTGGGGGAAAAAAACCCTCAAATAGTTAGGAAAAGAGGAGGGAGGAGCGGAGAAAAGAAAGAATTTACTGAGATTTGAACCAGCATCCTGTTATTAGCCAAGCAAAACTTTTAGCCACTGTTTTAGGTTTATGTTGCCAGAAGAAGATTAACATCAAATAGATACTCTTGGATCAGAACTACTCTTGTTTCAGATGACAGATATTCCATCCTCTGCAAAGCAGCCAAGGAATCGCTGAGATGAACCAGGATGAAGGTGAGCATTGCAGCCAAAATAAATCCCAGCACGTGATGCAACGTAAAATAAACTTGCAATTGGGTGCGTGTATCAGTTAATGCCTATTCGTTCCTCCTAAATGGGCTTCCGCTCCATTCTGATGCCTAAGCAACTACTCGGTGCAAAGTTCTGCTTATAGCAGGGTAGCCACCTATGGTGTTTTTATGACCCGTGGACTTCAACTCCCAGAATTCCTGAGCCAGCATGGGTGACTCAGGAATACTGGGAGTTGAAGTCCATAGGTTGTAAAGGGATTATACTTGCCCACCTGTGATACAGAGTATGGTGTTTTGATTTTCCTGCCTGCAGATTTCTGGAAATAGGAGTGTTGGTGGGGATGGGGGCCAAAGCCCTGTTCTTTTTATGCACCTGTGATCACAGCTGCATAAAAATCCACAACTTCTGGAGACAAGCTGTTCCACTGGTTAATTGTTCTCACTGTCGGGAACAGAGGTCGCGAAACTTGGCAACTTTAAGACTTGTGGACTTCAACTCCCAGAATTCTCCAGCCAACTATGCTGGGAGTTGAAGTCCACAAGTCTTAAAGTTGCCAAGTTTCGGGACCCAAGGTCAGGAAATTTTTCCTTAATTCTAGCTAGCTGGGCTTTTCAGAAGTGGGTCTGGCCCATTCAAGGCCTTTAGCCGTGTCTGGAAAAGTTCAAGAGCCTGGTGTTCCAGAATGGATTTTTAGCACTTTGTTTACAAAACTCCAAGCAGAGAAATATGGAAACCCCAAGTATTTCTGCTGTCCCAAGCATTTGTTCACTGGCCGAAGTTACAACTGCACTGAAAAAAGTGACTTAGGACCAGTTTTCACACTTGCAATCCTTGCAGCCTCCCCAGGGTCACATGATCAAAATTTGGAAGCTTGGCAACTGACGTGTGTATTTATCATGGTTGCAAGTATCCCCAGATAATCCTCTCTTGCGACTTTCTGGAAAGCAAAGTCAACAAGGAAGCCAGATTCATGTAGCCATCAGCAATACTAACTTAACGACTGTGGCAAAAAAAAGGGGGTGGTCATAAAATGTCATTTAAATGTCTCACTTAGCAACAAATTTGGGGTTAAATTTTGGTCATAAGTGTTAGGATATGTGTACAGTAACCCTTGTATAAAAAGGATATGCACACGGAAAACGGTTTATGAGAATAGTTATGAAGAAATATACAGCCACACAGAGTTGGACAAGTTGTCTTAGTGTTTACTTGAAGAAATAGCACAGTCCAATAAACAGTCCATGTCATACACATTTTTAACAGTCCAGAAATATCCAGTTATAAAGTCTTCTTACCGGTTCCATATCTTTTACAGCAGACAAATATCAAACCATAATACAACAAATAAGCTTCAATATCAACAGAATATCAAAATAAACAGGGTTAATCAGTATCGGTCCATAGTCAGTCAGTATCAGTATCAAGAGAGATCATCAGTGAAAAAGAGAAAGAGTTAAACCATGATCTATAGCTCCCTCTTATGGCAACTTGTAGCATAATTAACCAACCAGAACATAGCATATTACATTACAGTATTTTTCCTTAAAGCTACAAACATATATTTGTAGTTTATATATTGTCAACCCAACTACGTTATTTACATATACATAACAATAAGTCAAGGACTATCTATGCTTTTTATAATCAACCCCAATATGCCAGAAGGCAGGGATTTCACACAACAAAACTACCTCTGTGGTTGGATAGGCCCCCCAATTAATGTGTGTAAAATGTGAGGGTGCATTTCAAGAAAACAAAAAAACCAATGCTTACAAACTTGGTTCTTAGCCACGCTTGGAGAAACAGGGTAGAGAATGCAAATTCCTTTCTTTAACCCAACCTTGGTTGGGAGGACTGCCTTTTGCGCCACTTGCCCAGCTCCCAAGCCAGGAGTTGTGCCCCAGACACAACTGGAGTGTATTTGTGGAGAACGCAAATCGGGGTGCAATGCATTAAGGCGGCTTGGAAGCTGTAAGGTTTGGCTGACACCACAAGATGGCAGCCCCAGAACATTTATCAGGGTGCACCCTGTTGAGCCTTTACAGCCAAAAAACAACAGTTTTATGGCAACTTCGATATTTGCTGCACGCATTTTAGGCGGGTGACAGTCTATTTGATGCAGGCAAGGACTCTAGTCCTGAAAAGGAAACGCACACACACAGTATCTGTAGCTGGTGAGCATTCCCACAGTGCTTAATGTGACCCAGATGTTCTCCCTTGGTTAAGCAGGTTAACCATGTGGTAAGAAACCTTCGATCCTGCCTGATCAAGAAACAGGGTTAAGGCTCATTAATTGCAGAGCTCTCGCATCCCCCGAAAACAATCTTCCTGATTCGTTGTGTCAGCGATAGCTTAAAGATG